CATAAATAATTACTGAATCCCAGGCATTTTCCTTGAGCTTCAGAAATGAAAGAATTTGCACATTGTTTTTTTAAACCAGTCCGTTCTCCTTGGCACATGAATTACCTGCCCAATGATTTGGAAGTTGAATTTGGATACCCTTTTCCTGCACCCCACCTTCAATATTTAATATTAAAACCCCAGATTTTCCCCTCTATAGAATGGGTCCATATACAGAAGCTCTGTTCATTCCAGACTTCATTATTCCCTATTCCTCACCCCTCCTTGGGATGCAGAGGTTCTTGAGCTCAGGTGGGACAGGTTGGTTGAAAATGCTTCGAATTGCTGCATCCAATTGCATCACTGCAGTTCTTCCTCTTCACCTCATGAAGTCAGTTACTGATTATCTCATTGTTTCTTGTGCCGGCAATACTGCCTCAATTTATACACAACAATGCCTCCCTCTCTCAAAAAACAGTTTTACAGAGCTCCATTCTGCCATGTTCAGAAGGTATTTTGCTAACAGCTAAAGTGTCTGGATTATATCAAATGCAAGGATTATTATTAAAGTCACACCACTAAAAGGTATTTGCTCCCGTTATTACCTTTCGGGTATAGTTTCTCAATTAGCTCATTGAAGATTGGGCACTTCAGTGATGGTTCTGAAATGCATCTCAAAGTATTGTATTTGCTGTAATCTTCCCAGTATGGAATTAGGCTTCAGTTCTCTTCAAGTATACCTTTTATCTGACTGTATCATTTGCTTTGCAATATATGCCTCTGGGAAGCACCCTGACCCGATAAACTTAGAGTGTGGCTACTCTAAATGTAAAGTGAACCCATTTCATGCTTCTGTCCTGAATCTTATTGCATTTCTGTAAGGTTTAATGGCCCTGAGGAATATACAGATTTTTACATAACAAAAGGGCAGTGATTGCACTCAGAGGTATAGTTCAGGGAATTTTTTTGGGGTTCTGTGACAGAAAGATGCGGTCAATCCATAAAGATTCTTCTAAAATTGAAATTATCAGTATCGGTGATCAACACTTGGTGCTAATATTTATTTACCAACTAGCTGTACCGGTTGCAGTTACACTTGCAATCAGTTTTAATTAATCAGCTTTCTCTCTTTCGTCTGGCATTTTTATTTGTCCTTGAAAGGCTTGATCTTTTCATCTTAGGCATCTTTATCCCTTCACATTAAGAAAATGTACTATTGAAGGCGTTAGCATCCCATGTTCACATATTTGCACACATCCTTTTGGGAGGACTCCTTGTTGGGGAGGTCTCCTGTGGGAGTCCATACATGTGTAATAAGCTTGTTTAAGGTCAGGATAGGAGATCGCCAGACAAACTAAATGCCCATGACACCTCCCCCATGCAAGACTTTTCCAATGAGGTATAAATCATGTCTCTAACGTCAATCGGTTATTGTGTTCTCGGCAGACACACACGCAGACATTTTCTCTTTATTCGTAGAGATAGTAGTTTCTCCCTCCCAGTTGCCACTTCCTATGTTTACAGTAAAAGCCTATAAAGGAGCGTGAAATAGGTTACAATGCATCCACTCTCTAAGTACCCACTCTCTGAATGTATCAAGGTTATTGTTTGCAGCCTCTATTTACAAAATGAATGCTGCAACCGCGTAAATTGAGCACAACTTTAATACAACTTGGACCTTGCCACTCAGTGAACTTGAACAAAGATCAAGATGGTGCAATGTTATTACTTACTGTGTCTTCATGAAAAAATTATTGCTGTCTAGAGGAAATTACAGGTACTCTCTACTATAATGGAAAGCATCTCATTCACAGGGTATCACCACTGTAACATTGTTTCTCCAGGAGATTATTTAGTAACTATTTGGCATAGGGTTCCAGTTGAATTATGGTATGTACAAAGCTTTAGTGAGGATACTACGGTTACTGGAGAAACCTGACGAGCCTCGGGATTAACAAGAACATGCTCCGAAAGTAAATATGCTAATTTTACACATTAAATCTGCTACAACCATCTCTGAATTGATGACTGCAACCACCATCCAAAATATATATTGCACAATCTAACCTTATTTGAGTATTATTCAATCAACAGTTCAGTGCTTCAGCATCTGGTTTCAAGATGCAATACAAAATGCATATCAAGGGAACTGGGCAAACGAGTGATCATTTGTGTAACATACTTAGGGGGAGGGCGGCTGTGGTCAAGGTTTAAAAAGCTGGTAAAATCAGCATGGGACGGTTATTGTTGTATTCATTTTTAACTGTTACCCTCTATGGAGGCAGAACGGCAACTTGCTGCTGTGTAACCTAAGCATTTTGCAATTTCTGTTTGAGGTCGCACTTGAATAGCTTTTCCGGAATTGTAAATATAAATGAAACCTGGCTGATAACCTTTTAAAGAAACTTCTCCCCTGTGTCCTATTCACAGGTAGCTTTGAACTGTGCTCTGTAAAGCTTAAAGGGGCAGTAATGTTTCAATTTTCCTTGTTGGAATACCTTCGCAAATAACTATAATTTAAGGGAACTTGTTTTTCTGCCCCCAAAAAAAGTGTAATAAGTGTCTCTGGATTTCTGCCAAGCTTGCGAACTGATAATTGAGCATACGTATGTGTACTTTGCAACCCAACCCCTTGTAGTCCGACCTCATTTCTCTAGCAAAATGTTTTCTACTGCGATCGATGCAATGGTCATGCATTTATTTGTGTCACTGAAATTGAATGGAGAGAGCCTCAAGAAAAGTTGAGTGCAAGTTTTAAGTTCCAAATCTCCAATAACTTAATTTGAGTTTTGTTTCCACATATTTAATTAAGTGAATATGAAAATTGTAATCCAGATTTTCACACCCTGAAGCTAAGATAACTGTCAAATAGTGATCACTTGTTGCAATGACCCAGGTTTCAGCAAATGTGATTTTTACAACTGTTTAAAATATAATGTTTACAAATGTGCAGTGTACACAGCTCGGATCCAACCAGGGTGTGCATTACAAATATAAATGTGCTTGATTATCACCAAATGTATAGTCCTGGGGATACATCCATGTTTGTGTTTAGATATGACCAGCTAGCCTAAACTTGTCTCTGTTGTGGAGGCAAAACATAGAAATTCAGAGTTTTCAATTAATAAGATCTTGCTGCTGGGCAGCTGTGTTAATGACCCAGGAATAAAACAAAGTATAGTACTGATTTTTTCCCCTGCCGCACTTTTTCTACCCCCCTCCTCACCCTACTAGGAAATGTACAATTCAATGTAAAAATCCATCTCTGCTTTAACTCTTTGTTTGTCCCTCGAGCAATGATTTTACAATTTATAGCCCAAGTAATACCACAGAGTTGGTTTGAGCATCATTTGTGGGAAAAAAATGTGTGTGCTCAAGTAATTCAAGCAGTTGCAAGAGCACCCTGGGCTGTGGAAAATTGAGTATTTTAGTAGTTGAGAACCAAAATTAATAGTAAATTGACAAATCCATTAGCATACCTTGCTACTGAATAAAGCTTTGCACTGCATATGCAGCAAATCACAGAAGACTAGGACTGGTTGCAGGGATTTGGAGTTGAAAAGTATCTTTGCAAATGGTCACCCTACAGTTGGAGCGACTGGTGGCTCGATCAAGGTTTATCCATGGTCTTGGCTGAAGGGCTGATTAATAGGATTTGAGTCTTGTCCTTGGTGTGAACCTCCATTTCCTTTGCAAACTACTGATAAAATCACGTTCAATTGCTTTTCGACCAAGGCTTAAAATAATGGTGCTAAGAAGAGACTGGCAAAAATATTGACCAGATCCATAATGTTTTTTGTGAAAATTTTCAGCACTCTCATCATGAACCATAGCTCTGTTTTCCATAGATTATTCTTTGCAGTACTTGATTTTCTTTTGGACCTATTGATGACTGGAAATCTAAATCATTCTCTCACAAGCACAAGAGACCCTTAAGCTCGATGGTCTGGATGTACAGACCACTTCCAGAATGTCTAGGAACTTAATATTGGTATTTCACCATCTTCCATATTTTCTTTTAGGAAATTTTGCCGCAGGATGAGTTGATAATTCAATCAGATCTGCCAAGCAGTGGTCTGAGAGGATGAAATTATGGTCATTGCCTTGAAATTGCCTGTATTAATGCCCCAAGAAGATGAAGGTAAGCAGTGTGGAATAGAGTTACTGACTGCATCTCAGTACTTGCCAGGTTTCATATTTTCCTACTAGAATGGTTTGCTTTTGCTGGAGCTCATAAGTACAAATATTTAGGTATTTAAAAATACTGTAGAATTTTTTCCCTAAAGGAGTATGAAACTCTTCCATTTAGTGTGCTTTTGAGGGCATCTAGAAAATGTGGTCAGGTGAAATTGGTTCCGCATGTAGCCAATATTAAAGTTATTTCAAGTGGATACCAGAACTACAGTAAGTAGAAGGACATAGGCTCAGGGTTGCAAAGAGCTATTTCAGGACAGATGCAAGGAAATATTGCCTTCTTTGTAATTAATGACTGGAACAGGTGAGCAGGAAGGGTGGTGAGGCCAGGATGTTGGACTCATTTTGGAAACAGCTTGAAGTTATGATGGGAAGAGGGTAGGATGGATGTTCTGGAAGGATGCAATCAATTGGGCTGAAGGGCCTTCTTCATCTGAACCTCTCTTGTGATCTTTACGTGTTGCACACTGTTGAGAAACACAAGAATTTCCCTATTTAATTCCATTCAGAGATTATGTACATCTTGAAATTTTGAATAATACTCTACTAAAATGATTCAGTCACCATGATTCTTACTTATGTGATCTTCTATGTTCATCATGTTTGTGGAACTGAACCACATGTTCAGTTGCTGCTTGACTGGTGCTCTGTGTCAGGTTTGATTCCTGAGTGACACTGAGCCTTTGCTTGGATACGAGTGGTTCGGATCTGTCTCCACGAGTGCTGTGGAAAGAAGGTCAATCACCACTCACTTCAATCAATTCTGATCTTACTCCTCAGATTAAATTCGTGGTCACTGTGTTTCGTTTTGGGCTGTCAGAAGTCAAGCTGAACGAGAACACATGAGGTAAATGTAAAACTCAGTGGAAGAATCCTCATTTTAAATCCGAGACCCAAAGCAAATATTTCATAAGCCGGCTATTTTACCATTGCACTATACTGTGAATAAATTTGTCGTCCAACAAACATTCTCGTCAACTGCACATTTACATTAATCCAGTGCTGGCTAACTGACATGTACTGTACAAACATTTTGACAAGAGCAGGGAAGTATAGATCTTTTTCAGTGTAATTCAATTTTATTTATGTTATAAGGCCTTTAAATGCCACCCTAACTCTCACCGCTCAAGGTAAATGTGCTTGCGTCTACCACTGGGCTGAGTGTCTAAGATGTGAGCTCAAATCCCAATTCACAACCTGACCCAGAAGCTATCAACTGAGCCAGCCAATGCTGTAATTCACCATTCTATATGCAATAATAAATGCTTCATGGTTTGTATCTCAGTAAGCATTTGCTGAAATACAGTCTATACCTTTGGGTCCAGAGTGTAATCCATAATTCTCTAGATCCAACTGTCAGTCTACCTAATCTTTGCTACCAATGCCACTGAACAATAGGAATGCTACCTTTTTTTAAAATTTTGTATGTGATTGTATAAAATAAGAGAAGTCATTTATATAGTACTTGAGCTTTGCTCCTGTGCTTTATTCGGTTATCTGAACTGCTTGATTGAATCACAGTCTTGTAACTCACTCCTGGCTGCAAGAGCCTATGTATAATCAATGGGGCTCCAGCCAACGGGTAATAGAGTCAAGTGTCACCAGTGGATGACTGGAACTGTGATTAATACCCGGCTGACCAGTGATGATAAACCTGTTTTTATAAGCATCTGAGTTGGATGGCCTTGAACAATCATCCCACGAATTGTGCAGTGACAAATGGCTGTGTGACATGTGTTCATGGGTGTTTAGAATCTGGATTAAGGGAATCATGTGGTTTAGAGGAAAACATCTGATCATATCCTTTGTTAAAAGATTGTGGAATATTTAACAGTAACTTCACCATGCATAAAAGTAAAATCTTCCCAGTATCAAAATGCAGCTTTGCAGTCCAATTGGAAGGCCACAGACAAACTCCACTTGCTTTAAAGCTGTTTCCGAGCAGGGATGGCAGAATCTATAGAATCTCCTGTTTCCACGGACAAACCGATTCTGTACATTTTCAGCTCTTGCTAGGATGGGTAGAAGGCAAGAAGCAGTCTATCTCAATTCCACGTCCTGGGGTCCCCCTAGAAGAACAAGTAATTCAATGCAGTGATGGTCCCGGCAGAAGCATGAAGAATGGCATCATTTGGAGCTTGGGAAGCTCCCATTTTAACACTGGGAAGATTTTTTACAAAAAATATTATTTTAGTAAGGAGCACAATCAGCTAAAGTCTAATTCTACTAATCACCATTGTCTCCGGCACATAGATCTTTATCTTTAGATGAATCCAATCTATAATTCTTTTAATTAGAACAATGGTACTCATTTCTACTACCTAATCAATTGGTGCCCAATACTAAATAATTGCCTCAGCGCTATACAGCACTGGGAATTATTCCCAAGGCTATAGTCAAAATAGCTCTTTTGCCATTGCAGTGATGTGACAGCTACAGTTTGTATAGTTAGAGTATTTAGGTTTAGAGATTGGTATATTGAAAGAAACTGAAATTGGTAGGCTGGATGGGCCAAAATCTGCTTCTGCTTGAAATTGGTGCCATGCTCCATTACTCAGACTAAAATAACATATTTGGGTTAGAACATAAGCTATTAATTTTAGCAATGCATTTGGACTGGCACTGCTAACTCACTTAAAATCGAGTGTATTTAGCTTTAAATTGCCATTGAATGAATGCTTGTTAGGTTAAATTGTATATTCAGTAAGCTTTTAGTCTCAAATGCACGAATATACAGACTTATGATGTTCTGCCTAATTGCCACAATACAATACAGAAAGATTAGAGTAAGAGAGATAATTCTTCATGTTAGGTAAATCATTCTATAACAAAACAAACCTTCAAGTTTGATATAAACCACATTAATATTGCAATTTACACTCCTACTAAATGACTGCAATACATTTCCCTCCAAAATTACTCATTTAAAATCTTTCATCGTTCAACAGTTTCGTAAAAATCCAGTTCTCTCCAAATATTTGTCTGGTTAATTGACTGACTGGTTCATATTCCTGTAGTGGATTCTGCATTTGCACATGAACCCAATTTTAATTGCAAAGGATTAAAAGATTAAACTCCCCCTAAATTCGACAGAACAAACAGCATTGTCTTGGTATTCGATTATTCAGAAATTCAGGATTCTGCTTAGATTGTGTAACCAAGGGTATGAAATATCTCAATTCGAATGATCGTGATGTCTAATATTTGATCATGTCTGGGAACAATGTGAAGATATTATAGTTTTCTGCATGATGCAGTTTTAAAATTGAGATTAAGAGATTCCCCTCCCTTGTCTCAGCTCAGCATACTAGTTACAGGGGATGGCGATGGAGAGAAAAAGAGAGAAACCGAGCAGAAAGGAAATTAATTTTATACTCTGTTTGAAAGTGCTACAATTTATGTGCATCCTCTTTGCAGCTCAATGCCCTGTTCAGTAACACAGAATGGTTTTACCTGCTTTAACTTGATGCTGTGCGAAATTGTCCATTGTGGCAATGTTGAAAGAAAGTGGAGAGGAGTTGGCATTGAATGTAAAAGTCCTTGGAAATCCTGAAAAGCTATTATCCAAAATCTCTAATGGATGATACTGAGTAATTGTCATTGAAGGTTTCAAATACTGCTTTTTCTTTGTTGCTAAGTACGATGTAAGATCTGCCCATTATGACCCAATTTATTGGCCTACAAGGTTCCCCACCTGTTTTCGAATGTTTGTTGCAAAGCATCCGGTCTGAAAAGGCACGAAACACAAAATCTAAGAAGAATTCAAATCATGAAAGGGGAAAGATCATGAATCCTGACGGTCTCACCGAATACGATCGGAATAGGAAACCATTGTATTACAGATTTAGAATGCTTTTTAATATTCTCAATTATGACACGAGGTGCTTTGTGTGATTTCTGACCAGAGTTAGTCCTGAAGCAAAATCATCTTTGAACTTAGATCTTCATTCTCCATCTGCTTCACTCCATGTATGCAATACCTCCCTAATCTGTAACTAAAACATGCAGATTGAAATGTCAGACTTTGGTGACGCTGGCAAATGACCTTTATATCCTCTTTCTTGATTTATCTGGCTCCAAAGAATTTCAGCTACTTCTTACAAGGTTCAGGGATTTATCTATCAGCTGTGCTGCTTTTGTTGACGGATTTTATAGTCTGCCTCGACTGAGTTCTGAGTACAATCCACCTTAATCCATGTTGTGCCTTTCCTCTGAGATTATTGGGCTTTTAAAATGTGACCAAACAAGAGCAGTAACCAGTCCTTTCTGAGGACAGGTCCTCAAAGTAAGTTATAATTTGAGGAAACCATCCTGTGAATTGGACCCAATAAGAATGGAAGGAAATGTGCGGCATGTTAGAGGTGAATAATGTAGCTCCAAAACACAGAAACTTTAATGGGAAACAGTGCAGTTGGACTTCACTTTTTCTTTTCCTTGTCTTTTCAGCGCCTTGGGACGTCCTCCCAACATGAAAGACGCTATACAAATGTAATCTTATTGCTGTTCCTACTTAAAATTTGGCAGCGTAAAATGGGTATGCGGATTTGATTGTGCCGTGTTGCTGTGGGAATGTACTGAGCACAAGGTAGTGATATTAGTCATAGCCACAGGACACCTCCAAAACAGCAATGCAGAAATCCATTGGCAGATACTTGGGAGCTGCCGGCAGTGCCAGGGATCACATTTGCGAGGTGCTGCTGAATTGATTGCCTTCAGGCACAATAGGTCACATCGCGTTACCTGAATTTAAACTGATTTCATTTAAAATATAGATTCTGACCATAGCATTATTGCTTCCGTTCAGTGAAAAGTTAGATTCCTTTGAGGCTCCCATGACCAAGGAAGAAATTTGCTCTTTTGAAACCTGTCCCATTTGAGACCATTTCTTCCCAGAGTTCTGATGCTTTGATACAACAGTACACCCGAACTGCATTTAAATTGGTTCATGAATATTCCATGCACACTTTTACATTGAGCTGGCAAGCAGAGTTTTTTTTCGATATTGTGCTTTGTGTTAGGCTTGTTACTGAAGCAAATAGAATTTAGCCCATAAAGTCTTGCTGTGAAATTCATATAATTTGCAGCAAATAGGATTCTGAGTATCATGCTGATGGTTGTTGCTGGAAGGGATCGATGCTTCCTGTATGTCAAAGAAACATTTCAGACTGTGAAATTCCTTTGCTGCTATGGCTAGTGGCATGGTTCTATAGGACTGTCTACTTTGGTAAAAGGTTAAATATAATCCTTGCATTTGATGTAATGCCTTTAATGTCAAAACAAAAAAAAACTTGCATTTATATAGAGCCCTTAACCCTGGACGATGTCTTGTCGTGCTTACTGAAAACAACTTCACGGCAAATTGATGTTAAGAGTATTAACTGTTTGCAGGCAAACCTGGCAGCCAATTTGCATAGAGAAAAGTCCCACAAACAGCCATAAAATGAATGACCAATTCATCTTGAATATTGGTGTCCAGTTCACTGAGAAGCGCCCTTCTCTTCAAGCCCTGTCATGGGAACTTTCTCATCCACCTGAACAGGCAGACGGGAATCTGGTCTAAGGTCTCATGCAAAGGATGGCACATCTGATGCAGCAGTGCTCCCCCCAGCACTGCACTGGAATTTCAGCCTAGACTATGAGGCCGATTGGTCTCGATTGGGCTTGATCTCATGGCTAGGTGTGACACAGAGGCAAGAGTGCTAACAGTTAAGTTAACACATTGCCATATTGGGGTCAATTAAGTGGACCCTCCTATTGTTCTAATCTTATTGCTATTTAAATCTCCAGTCCGTGGGACTAATATTGCCAGTGAATGATGCCAGAGCTTAGAGCCTAGACCGACCTGCA